GATGAAGATGAAGATGAAGATGAAGATGAAGATGAAGATGAAGATGAAGATGAAGATGAAGATGAAGATAAGGATAAAGATCATAACCCCTTAACTTTAACTCATCTTAACTTAAAAACTTACTCCACCTGAGCTCACCACACATTAATTCACCACACTTTAACTCCCCACACCTAAATTCACCACACCTTAACCCCCGCACCTAAATCCACCACACCTAAATCCACCACCCTTAATTCACCACACCTCAACTTTCTCACCACACCTTAACTCACCTCAACTCACCACACCAAAATTCACCACACCTCAACTTTCTCACCATAACTTAACTCACCACACCTAAATCCACCACACCTAAATTCACCACACCGTAACTCCTACACCCAATTCCACCACTCCGCAGCTCACCACACCCAATTTCACCACATGACATGATATCACTTGATGTGGCATCAAAGGCAACATCATTTGGCATAAAATGAACCAAAATAAATAAGATTTAGATAGAGGTGAAAAAAGGGATAAAAAGGAAATACAACTGAAGAGTGTGCGATGTTATATTGTGGTGTGTTATGCTTCATATGTTATGTTATTTATTCTAATGTTATGGTTATGTTATGTTATGCCAAGTACTAAGCTAAACTCCCCTCCACTTAACCCATTCCAACTAATGTTATTTTAGCTCATTCAACTTACATAAACTATCCTTAATTTTATCGGTTGAATTTCAACCGCTGGGCGAACACTAGTATGTACTAAATAATGTATGCAATCTATTTATACATTAAAATTGTAACAGGCCGATTTCTGTATATTATAGATATTAAAGAAAAATTACTATAGGGGGTCTTTATTTGAACCACAGAAACCAAATCAACAATGTTTAGAATTTTTGTCTGTCTGCCTGTCAGTCTGTATATTTGTACGCGCATCACTAGAAAATGAATGCATGGATTTGAATGCAGTTTTCAACTATGCATTGCCAGAAGTCTAACTTAAAATGTAGAAAGAAAAAAACTAGAGAGTTGAGTTGCCACCTGTTTAAAAACTGCATTTTAAGTAAATTGATAAGATAAAGCAAGTATTGCAATATGGCAAAAATATAGAAAAAAAAATTAGAGAGTTGCACCTGTTTGAGAATTGCAGTTTAAGTAAATTGATAAGATAAGGAAAATATTGCAATATGGCTGCCAAAAGAAAGAGATTTAAGAAGGTATGCAGCCGAAAATATTTTTTGTTAAGGGTTGCCACCTGTTTGAAAATTTTAATTTAATTTAATTTATAAAATATAAGATATGGGTATCAAACTGAAGAGGTTTTGGAAACTTTACTGCCCAAAATATTTTTGATGAGGGTTGCCAACTATTTGAATAATTGTATTCAAATAATTTGATAAAATAAGTGAAATATTACAATACGGGTATCAAAATGTACAAACATACTTTTAAGGCGCAGTGAAGCACGCCGGGTAGTTGCTTGTTAAAAATAAAAACAAAACTATCTTGGTTCAAAAAACAAACAGATTGGGGTGTTCCAAAAATGAATGTAAAAAAGTGAAGTTGGAATTTTTATGCTCTCACCCTCTAGGATTGTTCTTTAACGAAAAAAATATGCCCCTATTTTATATTTTGAAATCAAAGAATATTTAGAGGTCGCGAAAGCGCTGAAATTTTCCATGTACATATCTTATATGGGGGAAAACAGCTTTTCGTAGAAATGCTATAGAATTCTTGAAAACCAATATTTTTCGCCCCGTTTCTCTTCAGGAGATTCCCATTATTTCTTTAAACAATTTTTCATAGTAACTATATTTTATGGGTCCGCCAAAATCCCTAGAAAATGTCAGAAAATACAATGGGGGATAAATAAAAAATCTTTAGTATTAAAAAATTATTAAATAAACAGTTGGGTAGTGTTATTGGAAGTGTCCCGATTAGATTCAGAGTTTTCCGATCGAAAAATATTGACTTTCAAGAATTCTGTTCCACTTCCACGAAAAGTTGTTTCCCTCATATAAAATACATGAAAAACTTTGAGCGCTTTGAGCGATCCCTATATGATTTCAAAATAAAAAATGGGGATATATTTTTTTTCGATATAGAACAATCCTTTGGAGTGAGAGCATTAAAATACCGACTTTAATGATTTTGGACCACCTTAATGAACCTACAACAGGTGCAACCTCGCAAAGGAGAGAGGCAATTGGCGATTTTTTTCGGTATCGGCCCAAACCGATGAACGATTGTAGAGCGAAACAAGAAGGAGAGTTCTTTTATTTAAAAGTATAATTTTCGAACCCATCAAGGAAATGGTATTTCGTTTTTTTTAATAAGGAAGTTTGGGACAACAAAAAATTTGTTTATACGACGATACATCAAAACTTAATTGAACTGCGGCTGTTACTACATTTATTTTTAACCTCATACAAGGTCGTAATGAGAATTGAAGAATATAGGAAAACATTTTTTTTTTACTATTTTAGGGATTTTCTTAGATATTTTCCCACAATCGCTTTTCATCACTCACTTACCAATTATGAAACAGCAAATAAAGAGAGTCACCCTCATTTTGTTTTTTTTTTTTT